GGTGCTCGAATTGGGCTGAAATGGGAAACAGTTAGCAGCAGGTATAGGAACGTGACTCCAAAGAAAAAAGAAATGTCTTGGAAAAGAGTTACATAAGGCTGAATCTGAGAAAGTTTCACTTTGAGAGGTGGGTGTCAAAGAAAAATTGAACCTAGATTGCCAGCTATGGTAGAGGCTCTTCAGGTTAAGGAATGTTCCATAATCAGTTCCCTAAACTTACTAGGAAGAGTACACGTTGCTTCTGAATAAAAGTTAATCTTTAAAAAAGAACAAAGCAGAGAACTGTGCCAAAACCAACTCTCAAACCATAATTACGGGAAATGGGTGGTTACTCTGTCCTGGTACCAGAGTAGGTAAATAGATCAATGATACAGAAATAAGAGATCATATCTCAACTAGGAAATGATATATGACAAATATATCACTGTATTCCAGGGGAGGAAGAGATAAATAGTGTTGGGGAAAATGGTTCATATGTGGAAAACATAAATAAGGACTCCTGGCTCATCTGGCAAACAAGGGTGAACCCTGGAAGGATTAAGGCCAAGTACAAAGTCTGTAATGATATGGAAGAAGATAACTTCAATGTCAAAACCAGCTACCATACAGATTTATATTTAAACTTTAATGTACAAGGAAATCCTACAAAGTAGCACAAAGATAGGCTACCCAATTTAAATGTAGGCATGGCATATGAATAGGAAATAAACACAAAGGAAAATAAGTGCCTAATAATCACTTCCTCTAATACTCAAATTCATAGGAAGTCAGAAAGAAAAAAATCAGTAGACAATGAGATATGCCTTTAAAGCCATAAAACTTGGCAAAAATCTGAAAGATGGAGACTATGAAGAGATGAATACACAGGATAGGACAGACCTGTGCAATTGCTAGTGGTGTCAAGGGGTTCACCTACTCACACAAGCATTCTGGAAGTGAAATTAAAATTTTTTTGTTCATGTTTATGCATGAACGGAGTGATCTGGAGAATTGACTCACTTAAGAGATAATCAGGTGATCTGGTCTTTCTTTTTACTTGGTAGCATCTGATTCTGATATCCAAGTAAAAAACCCTTGGATTTTTTTTTTTAAATATATAGTTGGTACGGGGGTCTCACTATGCAGCTTGGACTTATAGTGATCCTCCTGTTTTCAGCCTCCCCAGTGCTGGGATTATAGATGTGCGCCACCATGCTCAGTCTCAGTGCCCTGCTCAGCATGCCTGGGGGCAGAGCTGGTGCAGGATGCTCATGCCAAGGATCAAACTCTGGTCCCTGCGCTTGCCTAAGCAGATATTTACGAAATTCTTTATCAATTTATAAACGTTTGCAGCAGTGCTTTCATGAGGTGTCCTTCTCAGCAACTTCAGAGTAACCTTCACCTCTACAGCTGTGACTTACTATATACTAAGACAGCTTCCCTGACAGAACACTAGATGGACATAAAGAAATGGAGCTTTCTATTTTTACCACAGAGTCCTTCCATCCTGCCTCAGTCACTAATACACTAAGCTGTGGAAGCATGCTTAAGTTGTTTCTCTAGAGCATGAGGACAATTTTTGATGACAATTAAAATGCCACAGGCCTACATTGAAAGACAATTTGAACTTCAGCTGATCAGAGCATACAAAGTTGTAATACCCTGCACCAAGAGGGTTCTCTGTCTGCTCTTGCCCCTAAATTTGCTTTGGGGAATCAAGCACATCCCTGTAAACCCCACAACCTTCACACCAGTTTTCCTGAAACAGATCATTGGTTCTGTGTTTTCTGCCACCCTTTCTCAAAGAACCCTGACTCCAGAATCAGATGCCACTGAAGATGAGAGGGATAGAGAGAGAACTCAACTGGAGCTTATGACATGTAGGGCCTAACAGCCTCTTGGCTCTGAATTTTTTTTTAATTAAGTGCATCTCTTGAAGGTAAATATTTTTTCTTCAGCAATCACGAGCTGTGATCTAATTTGAATGGTTATTTCTTCTAATTAATAAAGTTTGGTATCCCCAGATGTGATGGATCCTGAGGTGAGGTTCTCCCATGACTGCCATCACACGATATTTGATGGCATTAACAAGCTCTTTGCCAGTGTATAAAGACTGCTCTTTTTGTGTTTGTGTTTAGTCTCTCTGTGATTGAAGGATAGTTGGTGGGTTGAGGGAGGTTTGAGCTTCTGATTGTTCAACCACTGAATGAATTAGAGAAGAGGTGAGATAATCACCTCTTTGGGACAGAAAACAAAAACAACAAAATAAGCTCCTGGGCACAATAAACTATTGCTCTTGGTGGTGCAGCATGTTGCTTCTCTACCCTGATGCTCTTTTCAACAGGTCCACCATGAGACTTAGACAAAATCATAAATGCAGAATGTTTGCAAAAACTGATACAAATTTTGATGCTGAGGGAAAACATCCATATACTCTTAGCTTCAATTGCTCTTAGTTGACTAAAGATCACCAATTTTGGAGGTCACGTGGTTGGATAATACAATGTTAGTTCCCTACTAACCCTACTGTAGCAAGCACCTCTGATGTGTGAGTTATAATGGTTGACTAAGTTATTCTTCAGGGATTGGAGGACCAATCTGACTGGACAGTAAATTTATCTGGTCCCACCGATATCTGATGGGGAACCGGAATAAGATTAAAAGGTTTGTCTATCCCTTTTGCTGCCTTAACTTTTGATCAGATTCTACTCAGCTGTGCATGTAGACTTGTGCTGGTTGCCCTTTGGAGCTGGTATGTGAGGTCCCCATTTACCTCTCTCTTTTCTGCAGCCATCTTTGTACTCCTTCAACAGATGCAGCAGCCCAAGCACCTATAGTCCTGCAGCCTAGGGCCAGGATATAGCCCAGTGGCACAGTGCCTGTCTGGCAAGTACAAGGTCCTGTGCTTGATTTCTGTACCAAAAATATAATAAAGTTCTGCAGCCTAATCATAAGGCTCAGACCCATGAGGCTGGGATGTTTTGTGCAGGACAGTGATACCAACTGTACATACATTCAACAGAATAAAATTTATCCCCAGAATAAATTGACCATGAACCTCCAGTGATCCAAATCTTGCACAAAAAGCCCCATAACATCTTTTGGAATCATGTTCCTGCTTAATGGAAAACTAATGGGCTTTAACCCACTCCAACCAAACTGAGGGTGAGGGAAGAGGGCAGAAAGGGGAAGTAAAAAGATTTAAGATGTGTCAGGTACTCCTACCAAATACCCACAATGACTACAAGCATTGTCATAAACATGAACTAAAAATAATTCAGGGCATTTAGAGATGGAGGGAAGGAGGGAGATGGAGGGAAGGGAAAGAGAATAAAAAAGAATCAAGATGTGTTCTACACAAGTTTCTACTCCCTAAGATCAATGTAAACTTCATGTATAGCAAACGTGGACTAATAAAAACCAACAAAAGCTTGTCTTTCCCCTTTTGAGAGAGAGACTTTCTCTTCCTCTTGACCAGTGCTGACTTCTTTCATCTCAAATGAAAGTGGACCAGCTTCTAGGGAAGTCACAGTAAAGCTGACCCTGAATATTCACCAATATTTGCCTTAGTTTTGTTTTTAATCCTCTCTTGGCCAAAAGATCTTATCTGGTAACAGAAGGAGACTAGAAAATATAGCATAGATCTTGAGGAATAATGGAAGCTTCTGTAGGAGTTTGAGATAGAAAAGCAGGGAAGTATTAGCCTGAAACAGAGGCAGCAGCAGAGAGAAATGAGAGTGGGGAGGATTCACAGAGGAAGGGTGAGAAACACATCTCAGGGAGTCCAGGAGTCCTGGACAACAAGTGAATATTGGGACAGAGGAAAAGAAAGAGGTTGAAGCTGTCACCTAAAAGAGTGACCTCAGAATAAACAGGTGGCTGGGAATTATGTTTTGAGTTTATTTAGTGCAGGTGAGAGAACCAGGATGATAGTCACAGAAATCCCACAAATTTGAAAAGTTGAGTTCTCCAATGAATCCCATTGTACAAGAATTTATGGGCGGGGACTGGCGAGATGGCTCAGTGGTCTAAAGCACCTACTTAGAACAAGCTTAGCAAAGCACAGGGACCGCAGTTCAATCCCCCAGCACCACATGCCAGGCAGCCCCGCCCCCTGGTGGGTTGAGCTGGCCACACACACACACACACACACACACACACATTAAAAAAAGAATTTATGGGAAGGTACATATGGTGCGTATGGGAGAATGATTGTGACTGAAGCTAAATATTTGGAAGTTATTGGTATAAAGATTCTGTGAGGCCAGAAGGTGAAGTTAACTCACACAGGAGTTAGCTTTAAGTAAAAACAAATAGGATGCACAGTTAAATTTGAATTTGTAATAATATTTTTAGTATATTCCACACGGTGTACAGACCAACTTGTCCTACAAAGTATTTATTATTTATCTACAGTCTAGCTTATCCAGGCCCATGAATTTCACCTGGCACCATGGCAGAGGCCCGCAGTCAATTAGCTTTCAGGGATCTGTAATGTGAGGGTAATTAGCACCCAAAGTATAAGAAAGTTCAGCTGCAGGGAGATAACTTTCCTCATAAAAAGGGCAGGATGTGGTAGCAACTGCTCTGGTTCCTCCCTGGTCTCCTGGCAGACATGCAGTAGTTGATGCCCACCTGGCCCTAGCCAGGACGAGCTATTCTGTACACCCGAGGAAGGTGAGTGCAGCCTGCCAGGCTTCAGCTAGCACAGCCTCTCTCACTGCTTCTCAGAAGGCTTTCATCAGAAATCTGTGGGCAGAAACTTCCCGGGGTTTGCTCTGAGCTTCTGAGGTTTCTCTGCTTTAGATGCTAAGTGAGTGGGTGTCTCTGTGAGTCTCAGAAAGAGAAGACAGAGAGAGAGAGAGAGAGAGAGAGAGAGAGAGAGAGAGAGAGAGAGAGAGAGAGAGACAGACAGACAGAGGTGTTTCCCTTGGCTATGGAAACTCTATAAAGACAGGGCCAAGTTTTCTCTTCAGCAGTGGGCACCAGCAGCCTTGTCTCTGATGCTTTGGCCTCCAAAAGACTGAGAGAAGTGAAACCCTTTGCCGTGCTGGCCCAAGTCACTGGATACCATGCAGCAGCACCCAAATTATCCATACCCCCAAATCTACTGGGTAGATAGCAATACCAGCTCTGCCTGGGCTCCTCCAGAGTCAGTTTTCCCTTGTCTTACCTCTAGGCCTGGTCAAAGGAGGCCACCACCACCACCACCGCCACTACCACCACCACTGCCACCACTGCCTCCACTGCCACCACCACCTTTAAAGAAGAAGAGGGACTACAACACAGGCTTATGTCTCTTTGTGATGTTTTCCATGGTGCTGGTGGCCCTGGTTGGACTGGGGCTGGGAATGTATCAACTCTTTCACCTGCAGAAAGAGCTGGCTGAGCTCCGTGAGGTAAGTCTTCCATGTGGGTTGCTGGGCCCTGGAGTCACTAGGCTTCATACCACAGTGCTGCAGTAGGGTGTGAGAAGGCTATTGTGGGCCACAGTACCACTGCTGTTAGACATTTTTCTCCTGTCTTACAACAGAGGGGCATATGGGTAAAGGGAATATTCTTCTCACTTGTAAAAAATTAGAGGCAAACAGTTCTTCCTCTGTTGTCAGATCACTCTATTGAGAGACTGCCTCATACCTACTGACTCCAGGAATAAAAAGAATTTTGAGTCGTGCTTGGAAGTGAACTCACTCAACTGGCCCAAGTCAATCTCTTTACAAAGATTTGAAAATACTAACATGACTCCAAATCTCAAAACTGAGGGACAGTGAGGTTCAACTGCTTGGATAAAGTCTAAGTTAGACAAGGATTTGAGATATTTGAGTTTCCTCTAGGGCTTGCTTGATCTGACATTTCTACACTCTTTGCTTAAGGAACTAAATTTATTGTGCAATTTTTCTGTTTCTCTTTTGCTAGTCCACCAGCCAAAGTCACACAGAATCATCTTTGGAGAAGCAAATAGGTAAGTCCTTATATTCATGTACATTGAGTTTTCCAAAGAAAATACTCTGCAGTGAAGGAAGTTGGTGGAGTGTCTTGAGTTCTGTACCATTGTTAGGCTTATGAACTCTATGAGAGGAGTCCTGGCTGATTGTAAATATGGTCAATAGGGCTCCTTGAACTATTTAAAAATATTAAATGAATTTAATTGCTCAAAATCAGTGTGGCTGTGCACTGCACATAATTCAAACTCATTTTCACTTGACCTTGGAAAGTGAAAATGAGTTCACTTTTGGCCCCCAAAGTGGGCTCCAGGCAGTGGGCTCCAGGACTGGTTTCTCTTTAGAACCCTGGTTTCAGTATACATGGCCATAGCTATAACTCCTAAGAGAGAAGAAAAGGTGTGGGAAGACACAGATGTGTCTAGGCAGTGTCCTCTCCTCTTTTAAATTCTCTAAAAATGTTACTCAGGAGTAAAGCTTGGTTTTGAAATATCTCATAGTATCTGAGCTTTGAAAAAAGTGAGTGATGGATTGGCCACATTATTATTTGAAATTGGTGGGAGGTTTGGGGAAAGGTTTTAGCTATTATTAGAAGCATTGTTTAGCTTTGCCTACAGAGGATTCAGGATCTACCTGTGATGATCAAGGAAAGATCCTTTGTATGATATCCGAGACAGGAAGATATTGAACACTAATCTCATGAAATTATAGGGTCAGTTGTGGAAGCTGTGGACAGAAGGATTTTAGGATATGCTTCATGTGTCTTAAACTCAGAAGTTTTAGAATTGGTTTGAGTCAGAAGGTAGTTTACAGCGTATGAGGTCCAGCCGTCTCATTTTTTTCCAGGAGAGATACAAAATACTAGATAAATTAGATGACATTCCCAAAATGACATGTGGAACAGGCTAGAAAAGAAGGGGTATCCTGGTGACTTGTCACCTACAGGGCTGTCTGGTGCATGGGTTGGTGTCTTAGCAAGCAGCCAAACTTCTCTTTCTCTATAATGGCCATGGAATAAGCAGTAGATGCAAAGCAGGACTCTTTTGGAAAGACAGTGGGCAAATCTTATCCTTAGAAATCTAGGAAGAAACAGGAGACAACAGACAGCACTAGCCATCTGTTAAGTCAGCTCTTGGAGGAACCAGTATTGGAATGTTCTGGTCCCCAATTCTATGGGTCCCCAAATTCCTAAGGTTTAAAAAGTCTGGATGGACACAGCAGGGTGGAAATATTTGTTAGAAAAAGAAAGCGTCTGGAGGCTGACTAGGGTAAAAATCGCCTTGAAAACAGCGGAATGTGGCTGGTGCAATGGGTACCTGATTACTCATCTTTCACCCACTCTGTGGAGTCACTTCAGTGATTAAAAGTCAAAAGAACAGATGAGTCAGGTCTACCTATCCAGGTGAACAATTATCTTCTTTATATCAACCCAACTAGATCAGAAATTGAATTGTCACACAGAAATCAAATTAGCAACTTTTCTAATAAGAGGTGTAAATTTTAAAAAGGGGGGTACTAATTTCACCAATCAAATAAACAAAGGTGAAAAATAAATTGGCCAAAGATATGAGAGAAGATAATCTGATTAAATAGTTCTAGCCAGTATGCATGTAAATCGCTGCAACTTTGTTAAAGAAGACCTTGGAAATACAAATAAAAAATCTGGGAACTGTTCATTTATCTTGTAATCCCATCACTAGAAGTTTATGTTAAGAAAACTAGTTAGAGGTATGCCCTAAGATTTATCTATAGATGTATATCATTTCCTCACAAGGCTAGTTATAATTAGTAATTTAATGAAGAGCTAAATACCTCCATATAGAATTATTAAGTGTACAATGGGATATTTAGATGAGAGAAAAATGTCCAGCAAGTAAAAATGAAATTGGAGATTTAGCACCAGGAAGAGTACTCTGAATTATAAGATAAAAGACACATTTACAAAAGGATATGTTTAGTGTGACACTGACGGTGTGACTATCTATGTATATGTTTGTATTCTTAGAAAGAACTAAAAGATTATATGTATACACCAACATGTTAAGCATGATTTTTCTTTGGGAGTTATTGTTACAGATTATTCACATTTTGTTACTCAAGTCCTCTTTTCATTTTTTATTTTTCCACACCCTTGCTAACTAAATATCTATTTATCCGCAAATGTTCTTTGAGTGCCTTTTGTATGTCAGGCTGGGTGTTGGGTAACTAAGAGTGAGGGTAACAAGGAGGTCTATCCTTGTGGGACTTTTAGCTTACTGGAGAAGATAAAAGTAAGCAGACAAATAAGATGATTTCATACTGTACTAGGGCGTCCCAAGTTTCAGTGGTAAGGACAGTCCCTCTAAGGCTGTATGTATCTCCCATGGAGGGACGAGAAGTCTGCCACATGAAGAGTTGTGTGTCTGTACTGTGAAGTGCAGGTAGGGGAGAGACCATTCCTCAGCAGGGATGGCATGTGTAGAGGCCCTGAGGCAAGAAAAAATCATCACTATGTCTAGGATAGATTTCTAGATATTTCTAGCAGATATTTCTGTTGAGTATTTTTTTTTTTTAATGAGACTAATATATGACTAGGCTCTGTGAGTGATATAAGGATACACAGCCGTGGTTCTGTGTTCTACTTCCTGGTAGTAGATGGCTGAACACCAGGTCATCTGCCCAAATGGTGTGTGGTGTAGATATGTAGAGGAGATTCAGTTTTGCCTTTCCTGTTCACTCACCTTTCCTTCAAAGTGGGATGTCGTGAGTGGCTATAAAGGTCATGGCTGCTCAGGTAATATTCTCTAGGGCCTGGGCCATTGTTACACTCAGTGTGGGTTTCACAGGCTAATCACAAGCTTGAAATGAACATCTACTTTTTGTGAATCATTTTTGTATGTCTTCTTTAGCTAACTTCGTCAGCTATATGGTAGCTTTTTAAAAAAGCCTTGGTGGAAATATTTGAAATCAGAGACATAGTATCTAGTTTGAGAAATAAGATCAATTTAATTCGGCAAGCATTTCCTGATGGCGTGCTCTCAGACACTGGATCTCATGAGTTCAAAATATAGTAAAGAAATAGCCATTTACATGTGGGAGGAGTAAGATAGCGTTTACAGTTACTACAGAAAAGGGGTCAGAACCAGTGAGAGAGGTGAAGACAGTACCCTGGATGTGATCCAGCAATCTGCAGTGCTGCCCCATCTCTAACACTCGCAATAGTCATCCAGTTTCTAAGCTCATTTTGCCAGCTATCAAGTGGGACAATAATCTCTATCTCAGAAAGTCATGGCAAGTTCTAGAGAGCAGTGGATACCAAACATCATAATTTTTTTAGTCATATTTTATTGTAACTATAATTTATGCAGACATCTACCTTAATTTGTCTTAATGTTTATATCCCTCTGTTCCTGAAATATAGACTGTTATGTCCATCTGTTTGTTTTGGGTGATGAATGTGTACTAGAACATTGCCACTTATACTTTTAAAACCTTTTATTTAAATTGCACGGGGCTGGGGAGATGGCTTAGTGGAATAAGTGCTTCCCTGGCAAGCGCAAGGGTCTGAGCTCAATCCCCAGTTCCACCAAAAAAATAAAAATAAATAAATAAAATAAATGAATAAAATAAATAAATAAATTGTAGGGTTTAGAGTCCTGTCAAAATAAGAGCTGGCATCTCATTTTTACCAATGTCTTTTATATGCTTATCATACAGGCCATCCCAGTCCATCCTCTGGAAAAAAGGAGCCGAAGACAGTGGCCCATCTGACAGGTCTGTGCTTGGAAGGTACAGCGGGGGCTTGGAAAACCTCTGGCAAAAGCAAAATAATGCTTAATTTCCGTCCCTGGGCTTTGAAGGAGATTTCTTTTTGTTTGTGGACAATGACAGTATGTGGAACCCAAGGGCACTCCCACCTTTGTGTTCATGTCACTGTCATGCCCTACTCTGAGCAAACCCTAAGCTGAAGCTCTAGAGCTCTATGTGCCATGATCTTGGCCCATAAGGAGCTCCACATTCCAGCGGTCCTAAAGGCCCTTTGAGGATTTGTGACACAGGTCTGAGGAGGTGCACGGTAAATTATTTTAGTCAGTGCATCACTGCTTTTCTGGGAGAACTTCATTCTGCTTTGGTCAAAAGTAGGAACAGGAGAGAGGGGCAGAGGAGGCAGTCCTGGTGGGGGTGGGTTTCCCCCATGCATTCTTACACCCTAGTGAAATGGTCTGACAGTAGCACAGTGTGGGAACTCCTGCTCTAAACCATAGTTCTCTGAAAACCATGTGAATATCACAAAAGTGATGTGCCTGTGCTCCTGGAGTTGCTAAGGCAGAGGCTGTGGAAGGACTCACTTGGATCAACCAACACTTACTGAGCACTATCTGTGTGCCCAGATGTGGGGAGCATGGAGATGATTCTCGCATCTTCGGAGCTCAAAATTTAACCAATCTAAGACAAGATAGACATATAGTAATATTCTCAGCACAGGACAGTGTCTTGACTAAAGTATATACAGTGCAGTGGGGATTTTAGCTCAAACCAAGGGCCAAGGAATCCCTACTGTAAGTGAAAAGGTAGACAAGATCATCCCTAAGATCTTTTTAAACTTTAGAATACTTTAGATTCAGCTTTTTGCTTCATAAATTACTTAAAGAATAACAATTTTTAGTGCTTGTTCTGAAAAATCATGAAATTTTTATCCCAGAGAACTAAAATCCTCTTAATATTTTCCACTGCAGTTTATGGGGAATGTATATTATTGTATCAATTGTGTATATGACTGAGATGGAAGCAGGCAGTTTGACGAGGGCATTGAAGAATTCAGTGATGGATCAAGTTCTGCCTTTTCAGCCAGTTCTTCATGGGCTGTCATTCTGGGTAAAACATTTATTAAATGAAGGGCACATAGTTGTGCCTTGCAGGCTTAGCTTGTTGGATACACAGCACTCCGGGCTGAAAGCACCTCTCTGATTTCTTTCAGGCAAGCTCTATTCAAGTTCCATCCCTCTGGAATGGGAAGACACCTATGGGGTTGCACTGATCTCGGGAGTGAGGTATAAGAAGGCTAGCCTTGTGATCAATGACACTGGGCTATACTTTGTGTATTCCAAAGTGTACTTCCGGGGTCAGTCTTGCGACAACCAGCCCCTGAGCCACAAGGTCTACATGAGGAACTCTAGGTATCACCAGGACCTGGTGCTGATGGAGGGGAAGATGATGAGCTACTGCACTACTGGCCAGATGTGGGCCCGTAGCAGTTACTTGGGAGCAGTGTTCAATCTTACCAGTGCTGACCATTTATATGTCAATGTGTCAAAGCTCTCTCTGGTCAATTTTGAGGAATCGAAGACATTTTTTGGCTTATATAAGCTCTAGGAAAGGCAATTTAGGACCTCTCCATTATGGTTTCTTGTGAGAGGCACTGGGAATACTACCTGGAATGAGGATCTCAAGCCTGCTGAGGTTAAATGAGAAGACATGAACTATAAAGACCTTGAGTACACAAGGGCTCACGAGTCTGCCGTTCCTCGCTTCACCTAAGGTCCATGAGACAGACAAGAGGAGGAACAAGACTGAATGAAGCAAATCAAACTCTAGGCTGCCTCATGAGGATGTGGAAGCATAGAGAAGCAGCTTTTCAGGTGTTCTTGACTCATGTGACCAAGAACATTTTGGTACATGGGAAAGGACACCTTTTAATTCACCTCCCAGGGAGGGGATATTTGCTACCTCAAGGGAGGTCATCTTTCAGATACATAGCTGTGACATGAATGTATGAGAGATGGAAAAGGATTGACCTTACATAAGCTAAAGAGACTGAAGGAGGTCCAGCCCCCATTTGTACCATTTTCATTTTTACATGCACATCCGAGCCAGCAGGTGATGCTAACCGAGAAACAAGAGGATCCTTGGGGGTTCCGGTCCATTTCCTGCACACCCTGTATATATCCAGCACAATTTTAAGTGTGTGTGTGTGTGTGTGTGTGTGTGTACGCGCATAGGAGAGATGGGGGAGGGAGAGAGAGAGATTAAAGAGTTACATAAGTAGAGCATGTGGGAATTGTGAAGTACATCTGTGTTGGGAAAACGTGTTGCATTTGGTGGTAGATTTTGGATGCTTCATGGGCAACGAATTCCAATAGTCCTCAGAAATATTAGATTGTCATTTGCTGATGTTCAGCTTTCTTATTTTGTTTTCTTTTAATACAACCAATATTTATGTAAATTTTGTGCATTTTTAATGAACAGAAAACATGTAATAATATCTATATTTTAGAAAACAGAATTTTGGCCTTTTCTGGAATTAAAGACAAATTTTAAAATAGAATACAGAAAAGGATTGTGACTATAAATTTTAGAAATCTCTAAGACTTGGGTATTTCACTTGTGTTATTTCTTTTACCTATGCTTTTTTCATTCCTAATGACTCTGAACCACCTTAAGAAGAATTTACTAAGGTGAGAATTATGTAGCCAATCTCCACATCCTTGCCAAGCTTTCCTCATCTCTTTCTCTATTCTCTACTATATCTTCCATTATTCAGAGTTTCCATTATGAATGGGCCAGTGTGAAACACAACCAGCTTTCCAGGTATAGGAATGGCAGCATGCCTTCTGGGGGCAAAGTCAAAGCATAGTGGCAGAGGCACAGTCCTTGGACTGGATTTGGGGTTTTTTTTTTTGGACTGGATTTGAAGCTTTCTGCTTCCACTTACTGACTTTGCAGTCTCTGGGCAGAACACTTGAGTGTTTCTTGGGCAAAAGAGAGCTGAGGTATATGTGGTAAAATGGCACCAGTCATTACTAATGAGCCACTCTGAGGAGAACATCATTCTTCAGGAGTCTCTGACTTGTGGAATCCTTCCAGACACTTGGTTCCTTTTTGTTGTGGTGGTTCTTTTTTAAAATCTTTTATTCATTCATTTGGTATAGGATCTGCTACACAGCTCGGACTTGTAGTGATCCTCCTATCTAAGCCTCCCCATTTCTAGAATTACAGTTGTGCACCCACCCCACACCCAGCTTCAGTGGCCAGCACAGCATGCCTGGGGTTGCGGGGCTGACAAGGCTTGTGGTATCAGCAGGGATCAAACCTGGGTCCTTGCACTTGCCAGCCAGGCGCTTAGACAGCCAAGCGATCTTCCCAGTCTGACACTTAACTTTCTTGGGTTCCCATGTTTGTTGCATGAACAACCTTTCCCTATTTTCTTCTACTACTCACAGTCTTGACTCTCTCTAGAATTAATTATCACTAGAAATTACAATACCTCTTTTAGAGTTTGATTTTAGATATCTTATTTTCATATCATTATTTCCTATTATTAGAATTCAATTACTGCATTTTTCCCTGAAGTATCTTTAATGTATTAAAAATAACTAATGAAAAATTCTCCCATTTTCTTATATTAACATTAACTTTTCCTCATCTTTGTTCCTATTTCTATCCAGCTGAAAATTCATCATCTGTCATTAAAACCAGTACCTTGGAAAGACCCTTAACTTCACCATATTATCTTCCTCTTCCTCTACTATGTGCCCTTTTCACACAGTGAAAAGAAAATCTTACATTTTTTTAGTTAACTCAGGACCCAGGTCATTCTGAGAAAAATTACCCAAACATACTGATTTGTTTTGTATCTATAATGCATTTAATTTTTTTTTTCCGGAACCAAGGATTGAACTCAGATCCTTGCATTTGCCAGTCAAGCACTTATCCTACTGAGCCATCTCCCTGGTCCTATAATGCATTTAAGACAGTCATTAACTCATCAATCTTTTACTGATTTATGTCACTATTTTGGCTAAACAGGTAATATATGTACATGATACAAATTTAAAAGGTATGTAGTGATATAGAGTGAAGTTAAGTCCTTTTCCCAACTTATCCATGACCCCATTTCTGCTTTCCTGGAGGATTATTTCTTATGATGCTTTATACATAAATATGACATCCCTTTCCATCAGGGTTTCTCAATCTGGGCTCTGTTGGCTTTCTGACCAAGATAACTGTAAGAAAAGGTGTTCTTCTCATTGCGTTGCATTTAGCTGCATCCCTGCCCTCTACTCATGAGGTGTCAGTAGACTCTTCTATGCAATGCTACCCCACAGGTGACAGTCAGAAACATCTCTAGTCACTGTCAGCCATCCCTGCACATAATGGGAGGACAAATTACCCCTGGTTAAATCTGAATACAGGAGACCTATGAATGCTTTCAGGTCACCCAGTGAAATTTCAAATAAATACATTTTTGAGTATGGCTGTTAGTTCATACAGAACATTTCATCAGCATGTATTTCATAATATGTTGTAGCATTTCATCTTTTACAGTTTCTAGCATCGAATGGCCTTGTGCTGGCATTCCGTCGAACAGGTTTCACCCTGCCAAGATCCTCACTACATTTTTGGACCTAGTTCTAACTTTGGTTCATTCCAATTAATTGCACGAGCATTTTGTATCTATTTGACCAGTCAAATATGTATTCATATTGCTGAGGGGTTTGTCACCTAAATCATGGAGATCTTAAATTCCTGTTTCTGTACTGGTCAATTCTTTCTCCATTTCACTGTTACAAGAACTTTGGCTCACATAGCCAATGTCAGTCACTATCATCTTTTCTTTGATCTGCCGATTCACTTGGACCTCCTCCTAAACTTGTAAATCTGCTTTTTCATGTGCCATTGTATTGAGTTGGGCTACTTTCACTAGAAAAATCAAAATAAACCCACATTTCATTACAGTAAGGTACATGCTTATATAGTAGAAGAATGTGTGGGTGCATTGTACCACCCATGATACTCAGATAAATAACCCAAAATCTGTTAGCATAACTATGGTAAAAATCCTTTTTTAAAACTTGTGCACACATGCACACACATTGCTGTCTGTCATACCAAGTGGATGAATACAAAGATTGTTTCTTGCATCCCCCATGGCCAGCTACTGAGGGGCATAGCTGGGTACTACTGTGCTGAAGTACAAATTTACAGTAGAAAAGTATTGGATCACTTGTTGTAACCCAGAGTTAAACCCCTTCAGAATTAAAAAGCACTGCTAGCTGGGCATGTGTGTGCATGCTTATAATCCCAGGACTTTAGGGGGCTGAGATGGAGAGATTGAGTCCAAACCTACTTTAGGCAAATCAGTAATATTAAGAATGTGTTGTCAAGATAAAACCAAACAGAACAGGGGTTGGAGGGTGTAGCTCAAGGAGAAGGCCCTGGATTCAGTGCCTAGGATTGCAAAAAGCAAGCAAGCAACAGCAATAACAACAACAACCCTACTGCTTTACATTAATGATCACAGATCTCAAATTATTGTTCAACATGGCACAACTTTTTCTCACTGCACAGATCAGACTCAGTGATTCTCCTATTTTCAGCCTCCCCAGCTGTGGGATTATAGGCATGTGCCACTACACCCCTGGGTTCTGTTGCTGGCTCAGCCTGCCCTGGGGGTGGGGCTGGTGTGGCATGTGGTGCCAGGTTTTGAACTGTGATCCCTGTACTTGCCTAAGCAGGTGCTTTAGTCTGCTGAACTATCTTGCCAGCCCCACATTTTTCACTTTTTGTGTCATTTCTGTCATATTTTTTTTCCTCTGGCAAACCAGCCACAGTCTCTCCTTCCCTCATGTAACTTTCCTTCCATAATTCCATCTACACCTAGACCACCTCCTCCTTTGATCTAGTTACAGTGGAGGCAGAGAATGATCCATTCATCCACTAAACTCACATTTCCTGTTCCCTGTTTTGACACTTAAAATTTTCTTCTCTGAATCCTTAAACTATCCTATCAGTGGAATCATTTCAACAGTATATGCACATGTCCAGGTTTCTCCTCACAAATTAACAACCCAAGCAAAACAGAACAACCCAAACTTTCTTTCCTCTTTATCTTCCTCCAGTTCTGGCTTGATTTCTTCTTTCTCAGATAGAGAACAACATTTAATAAGTGTTTCTACCTATATAGCCTACATTTTCTTTACCATGATGCTTTGCTCTAAGTTGTTTTTGTCCAAATGTCACCTTCTCAGATGATCCCGGATAGAGTCTCCTCTTATTTCCATTCTTATTTCTGTTTCTTTTTTTCTTACGGGATTTTATAACTAGTGTTTATATTATTTTTTGACCACTTACAAATATTAATTCTTTTCATCAGAATAAAAGCTACAAGAGCAAGTGCTTTTATCTTTCATTACCCTCCCATCTTTATCACTTAACACAGTGTGTAGCACATATGAGGTATTCAATAAATGTTTGTTGACTGAATGACCTCTCATCTCTTTCTGTGCAGGTATTTTGTAGAACCAGTGAATTTTTGCTAATACAGCCTCCGGAATATGTGTGTTCCATCTTGTTTTGAGTATTATCCATTGGCAATTTGAAGCCACCATAATGCATGCCAATTCATAGCCCTGGAAAGTAAGAAAAGTATAATTGGGACTTGACATTACCTCAGGTTGATTAGGAGAAGGGCAAGGGAAATTCCAGAGCTAAAACTATTGTGTAGGAGATAATCAGTAATATTTGTTGGATAAATTAATGTACAAAACCAAAGTTCTAGCTTGGAATATGTGTCATCTGTTCTTCCCCAAACTCATATTTATTTATATGCTCTGTATGATTAGGCTCCGATCATGAGAAAGTGAGAGACCTATTATCCTTTCTTGGGCTTCTGGGCAGTATTTCCAGCCATTATGATGAAGTCCTCCTCACTTTTCTTTCCCTTTTGTTTTGGATTCAACCATCAAGTGTGCCAGTACCAAGGGCTGACAATGGTCCATTTTTTTCTTGTGAGTGGACCCTTGCAGAGAGTAGGGAAAAGGCCTGGGGAGTCCTGGGATAACCTGTTGGCATCAGCTAGTCATCATCCTATCAGCATGCTCCTCTCTGAGTTGTTGTAGGATGCCTTTGGAATTTAGGAAAGGTAGGATTAGAGGTTATTATGCTTCAAGTATTGGTTCCAGGAAAGAGATATGAAAAATTCCTTTAGAGATCTTGAGTTATATTTCTTTAACTTAGTACACAGAGAATATCAAAATACCAAGGCTGTTTTTTTTTTTTTTTTAAATTTTAGGGTTTTTTATTAATTTTATTGAGAAACAAATAGCAATGAGACAGTTTCAAAACAGGTTAGTAGGACAGTTACAGTAATTAATACACTGCACATTGTTGCCTTCGTAGAGTATACTATTAGTA